AGAACTCTTTAACCTATTTAGCATTTCAAAACATCCCTTGATTCAACTATGCACAAAATAATATTTGTTTGATGCTTTGAATCTTTGACATTCAGTGGTAACTACAATGGAATGATGTTTTGATTATAGCAAGAATATAATAACGATTATTTATGTCGATGCTAAATTATATAGAGTTAAGTGAAATGTAAAGTCATACATGTAAAACAACATTTTTTTCTCACATTGTAGATTTACTTTTCCCTTATCCAAGTTTCAACTCTTTAACTCAACCTCATTCTTCAACAAGATAGTTAATCTTGACATCACATGTCAAATAAGTAGATTTTTGCTAAATCAATTTCTATAACTACTTGATGTGGAACATTTCCATTCTTTACCTTCTAACTGTACTTTATGGGGTAGTTTTCAATCTCTTGGAGCCAGTCCTCAATTTAAACATTTGCTATTCATAATAGCACTTGACAATTTAGTAGCATTGTGATTAAGAATTGACAACTTATTTGTCTTTTCTTTATCCTTTGGCTTTTATTGTAGTCCCCATCCTTCTTAACCCTTTCTCATTTGAACCATTTACAACATTTCTTTCAAGCTCAAAATGATACTATGCTCAACTACTTTAAGCATCTTACGTAATTTTGCCAAAACCATTCAACACAATTCATGTCGGAGTTTAATCTTGTATTTAACACCGCATGCAATAAGTGATGAATGATGTCACTTAAATTATTCAACATTTGACAGTATGAAAATCCAAGTCATTCTCCATGTTCAATCATATTGATCAAAGAAAAATACTGGGTTCTTCATGTGAGTCGCACTCATGTTGTCTTTAGAGGTCTTGTACCTCTCCATCGAGTCTAATCACTTGAAACGTTTTCAAAATGAGTCAATGGTGGAGCCATTCAATTATTCAAACTTTTTGAGTTCTTGGAAGCTATCATTAGACATGTGACATTATTAAATAGGTTTTAACACTCCTTTTAGCCTTTAAAACCCTTTTAGCAAAGCATGGATAATGGTTTACGGATACTCTTTTAGTTTTGAGAACGTTTCTCAATATTTCTTTCAATCAAGGAGATATTCATAACACGAAAATTAATCAATAAAGACATAATATTTGCAAATAATTACAAAGTTCAACTATGTTTATCGAAGTAGTTTATGATTCAAACATCCTTTGAAATCATTTTAGCTACTTTACACTATATTCATTTTGTGTCCCTTCATGAATAACGTGATTCCAAGATCCTATCCCTATGTAGCATTAAGCGCACGGAGGCCCTTCCTTAAGGTTACATTTTCAAGGTAAGTAAACTCCTTTACTAATTACAACTTCTTGTAATTCTTGGTTGGATAGATAACATCATATGTTCATTTATCCCCATGCTTCAAAATCCAAAACGCTTTTGATGATTTTGTTGAGGATGACCAAATTAAGTGTGCAAAATTCGCAATTTCACCTTACCTCCCAAGATTAATAATAATACCCTGCGGAGGCATGACCCATTACTATTAATCAAGGGTTTAATAAGTACTTTATATTTGGAAAAGCGAGCCTCAATATTTGTGGGACTTAAGTTTATTATGTTGTTATAAACTAGTGAACTCTAGCGCATTTGATAACAACATTCAATAACCTTATAAACATTTTAAGAATAATAATAAAATGAATAAAATTAAATATGAGCTAGTATGGCCCCTAATCCTAAGAACTAAGCTTGATTAGGCACCTCCTTGAACTCTTCATGGATCTCCATCCATTTTCATCATGGGCCTTCTCATCTTGGGCTCTTCTTTGGATTAATTAAGTATTTAAATAATTAAACTAATTCATAATTAAAATAAATTACAAAAATACTTAACGATACGCAGATCGTATTTAAATTACAAAAATACACAACGATACGCAGATCGTATTTTCTAACTTAAACTTTGGGTCATACTAGTCATTTATAGCAATAATAATATATCATATATAACATACAATTGCCACATAATAAATCACATAGCATACTTTGCCTAAACTAAAATATCAGATATTCTTAATTAAGGCAACGTATATTTCAAAATATCACATATTTTAGGGCACGATTAGATAATATCTCCATATTATTCATTCCCATAATTAAAATATCATATATTTAAATTAGGAATGAGATGAAATCAAATAAATATATAATCTAAGAAAATAAATCACATTTATATTCCAGGATTATCTTAACCAATTTAAACTTCCATCCTAATCATTAGTTAACCATCTAATTTTAATTTGATTAAAAAATCAAATTATGGATAATCACATATTATACTTACCAATAATCAAAATATCAAATATTCTTAATTATGGTAAGTGGATAAATCAATTAATTAGGAAATCCTAGAATATAAATCATATTTGATAAACTGGAATCCTAACTACTTAAAAGATTTTATCCTAAAAATAAGCTAACCAACTAATTTTAATTAGAGTAAAAAATCAAATTATGTAATTATCTTATAATCAATTCAAAACAACCTTAATTGGAATTGCTAAATATCCCCTTAAAATCAGTTTTTCAGTATTATCCAAAATAAATAAATCAGATTTTTTTTTATTTATCTTTATCAAATTTTTTATTTTTTTTAGCTGAAACAGGGGCTGCGTGACTGAGCTTGCTGCCTAGCCACGTCACAGCCGCTGCAGCAGCCAGGCCGGAGCCCAGCCACCGCAGCAGTTGGCCGCCGCAGCCAGGCAGCCGCCCAGCCACAGCAGCGCTGGCTTGGCACCTGGCAGCAGGCCAGCATGCCAACCAGCTCGAGCAGAGCTGAAACCGTGCAACAGTTGCAGGTTCAGATCTGCTCTTGCCCAACACCGACTCCCCCGCCGCCCCTCCCCCATTTTCGACCACTAGAGCAGCCACCGTGGCCCACCATTAGGTGGTTCTGCCACCCAGCCGTGGCTGCTTCTCTCAACCAATTTAATTTTTTTTTTGTTTGAGTTAAATTAATTTCACAACTTTTGCAAAATTAATATTGGTGATCTAATTATAATTAAACACAAACTCTTTTATGTATGATTTCAGAAAAATTAATCAAAATCTCCATTTTAATTAATTTAGGGCTTTTCATTTAAAATAATTCCCAATTCATATAAAACCAATTTTACATGAATTAATTAATCATATCTAAACAATTTTAAATAAGAAAAATAGATTATATTATATGAATTTAACAATTAAAATTGAAATTAGGGTTCATAACCATCAAATTCGAAATTTTAGGGCTTTAGGGTTCTTAAAAAAAATACATGGTTTGAGGCTATTTGAGAAATTAAATTCACAATTTAATCAATTCCAATCAATTAAAATCATATTTTAATAAGGTTATTTTAATCCATAATTAAATTCCTCCCCTTAATCGAATTAAAATTAGCCTAATTCACACATCAAAATAATCATATTATTGTGACCAGTAAATCATATGCAAGCGGCTAACTGATACCACTATAGGGGTTTAGGTACTCTAAGCGGAATTTAATGAATCTCATTCATAAGCACCTAAACAGGATCTCGTGCATATACAAATAAAGGATCACTTAATAGTTTAGAATTAACCTTTGATGCGTGAATTCCCAAGCTTTCTTCTACCTTTTTGCGGAGATTAGAGCCCAGTTGTTGCTCCTGTAATATTGGTCCACAAGTGTAGATCGAACCTCCACCAATGCTAGCTGGACGGGAGAGATTAATCTTCTCTTCTATGGAGAACTTCTAACCGGTTGTAGAGAGAGAGGAAGGGAAAAATATTACATTGTTTCTTTTGAGAGATGAATGTCTGTTCTATTTTTCCCCAAGCCCTTTATTATATATAATCATATTATCTAATTAGGGCAAGAATTATTCCTATCTTACTCTTTATGGCCAGTCATTCACTAAGCCCAACTTTTGGACTCAGTATTCATGTTCGACCTAACACTGTAACGTGTGACCTCATAGGATCCATTTAGTTGGCATTCGTTTAACCCAATGATCAATATTGGTCTCTAGCAAGACGTAAAGAAGACCTTACTAAACGAATTTATTATCTCCATAATACGATCCATATTATATTAGTAATTGCACGAGAGTCGAGGACACATTTCCTTCATAATACTCCACAACGGAATAAGAAGACAAAACCCACCTCTTCCCTTCACCCCTTTATTCTTCATGGTTAAATTATGAAGACCAAAGTCAATTTTGCTCACCCCTTTATTCTTGTGGATTGCTAAACATCGCCCGCAAATCTCCACAAAAAGCCCACAAATCTATATTGAATTTACCTTATTGCCCTAAACCTAAAATAAAAAAATCTAACCCATACCCACACTCTAATCACCCGAAAATACGGCAATGTTGAGGCGGCAAGGCAAGGACTTGGCGGCCACAGCGGCGGAGGGAAGGACGGCTCACGGTGGCAGGGTTTTTTTTAAATTTTTTTTTTTAAAAAAAAACCAGAAGAGGTGGGGCGCCTGGCCAGGACGCCCAGCCCCTGGTGGTGGAGTCTGCTCCGGCCGCCGGAACCAGGGGGTTGGCGTCTGACCTGGACGCCTAGCCATGGTTGTGGCGTTTTCCAGAGGCGCCACCGCCGTGGCTGGGTGTCCAGGTCAGACGCCAGCCCCCTGGTCTCGGCGGCCGGAGCAGACGCCACCACCAGGGGCTGGGCGTCCTGGCCAGGCGCCCTACCACTTTTTTTTTTTTTGTCTAATATTTTTTTTTTTGGAAAATCAGAATTCTTTTGTTAATGTTTAATATTTTTGTTTTATGTGTTAATGTTTTTATTTCTAATGTATATATTTTTTTTTAAATCAGAATTTTTTGTGTTAATGTTTAATTAAAAAAAAAACAAAAACTTTAAATAAAATTTAAAAAAAAATTACAAAAAGTTTAAATAAAATTACAAAAAAAAAGAAAAAAAATAAATAAAAAAATAACAAATTACATAAAAAAAAAAATTACAAAAAGTAGGGGTGGCGTCTGGCCAGGACGCCACAGCCATGGTGGCGGCGTCTGGCCAGGACGCCACAGCCATGGTGGCGGCGTCCTGACCAGACGCCACCCCTACTTTTCGTAATTTTTCCCCCGGATTATCTCGCTTTCCGGCGACGATGACGGCTCTTCGGTGTCCCTCGGCGATCCACTCCAGCTCCACATTTTTCGTGAGAGTGAATTACGGTTTTGGTAAAAATTAGAAAAAGGGCAAAAGAGTCAAAGTAAAAATATTTGTGGGCTTTATGTGGAGATTTGCGGGCGACATTTAACAAATCCCTTATTCTTCATGGTTAAATTATGAAGACCAAAGTCAATTTTGCTTGTTCTTTTTACTTGTTTCTTAATTTGGGCTAACCAATCAAAGTTGATTTGATTATGCTTAGCTCAATATCAAGCTTATCTCACTCCTTAACGGCTAAGAATTGATGACTCAAAGTCACTTTTTGCTTCCTTATAATTGGTTGTCGTCTAATACTCAAGCTTATCACTTTAGCAAACTTCATCTTATGATTCATACCCTTAATTTCTTTCAAGTTCCTGGAATAAAAATACTCCATATATATTTAACGTATTACCGTACGTGCATAACTACCGCGGCTATCACGGCTCTTCCCTTTGCTTGAAATGGTTGTGGTCATCTCTTTCCTTGCCACCAAGCTCACGCACCGCAGCCACGTACTCTTCTCCTTCCTCCATTCATGGCATGCTTGGTGAAACTAAGAATGGTCTTTGAGACTACTCTGTACACGTGAAACCAAAGTGAGCTTATTACATCTTTTATTTGCTCTTAATTATGGGTATAAGTTGACTTTTATGTTTGGAAAGCATGCAACTCTTGTTTTTCTGATTTAATGATTATGTATTACTAGCTTTGTTTTGAACTTGACTTTCTTACTGATGATAAATCATAGTAGTATTTGCTTTTTATATGATCATAATATCATATATGTAATCACGAACTAAAATATAAACCCATTTCTAATAAAATGAGTATTTGACTATTTGTGTAGTTTTCATACTAAGTAATTGAATTATTTGTAGTTTTAAACTCTATTTTTTTACTAGTATGAATAGTAGTAGCATCTATTTTAAAAGAGTGCTTATTCTACTCTAAAGAAGCTAATACTTGTTTTATTCTTTGAAAATAGGTTTATACTTGTTTTATCAAAGGTTTTGAATTGAGAGGTTACTAATGAATATTTATTATTATTTGGTATGATCGAATGAGTCATGGTAATGAGGAATTAATGATGGAGGTTGAGAGTTCAGATGATAAATATGGAAAAATAAGCGAGATGATGATTAAGGATGATCAAATGAGGTAATCATTATGTCTAGCAATTGTGTCTAGTCATGTATATGTAAATATTATATATGTCTAGCAACTATTTTTAGTCTCATATGTGTGTCAATTATGTCTGGTTATTGTGAATGCATGTGTGTAATTTTAAATGGCATGTTGTTGTATCACATGTATGTCTGTATGATATGCTTGACATGATATGATTTAAAAGTGTGTTATGTACAAATGACATGACATGACATGACATGACCTTTTATATCCATGCATTGTATATATTTTTAATGAGTTATGATGTGATAAACATGTTTATTGATGTATTTTAGCATTATGATTTATATTAATGATTTTATATATACAATGTTCAATTGATTTGTGGGTCTCCCGAAAGTATGTTAATAATCAACGAATAACTTATTATAAGGTAAATAACTTAATAAATGAAAGTAAAAAATCTGGCGCGTCTAGCAGTATGTGTTATGTTTCGGTCATGCAATGCATGTACCCATGGGGCACCAACCCAAATATGTCGAGCACCTGCTCTATGTTATGGGCACCGGCCCATCGCGGAAGACGTTCTGCCATGTCATATTGTCCAGCGACTAGCATTTCCACCAAAAAGATTACGAATTCCTGAATTATATTAAAGGACTTATGAGAACTCACAAGGATACTCTATTGATGAGTATTATAATATGTTGATATGTACGATAGTTTATATACATGTCTTACCATCATACAAGGTGATAAGAATGCTATGAACGACAGGTTTTTCTAGTTATTTTGTTAATTATAAATTATGTGTGTGTGATCTGTTTTGCTAATGTCCCTGTTAAGTTTAACAATAATGATTATTTTACTCAATTAAGTGCTACGAATGAATGATTATGAAATGTGCCAATGTGCTATGAATTTTTATGAAGTTATACAGTTGTTTATTTAATATAATACAATAGATGTAACTTTTGTCGACATTGGAAAGTGAACTGAATGTGGAAAATAGGCGACTTACAGGTGGAGGAAAGTATGTTAATGAAAGGGGGAAACATTCCCACACGAATGAAAGTTATGTTATGTCCAAAACCTGTAATTACCTATAATCTTACGTAAAGGGAATGATCCTTGCCGACACAGTTTTTTAAAAAATAATGATGTTAGATTATTTTTGAACAACTTTGTATGTATGATATATGCTCAAATGATTTTGAAAGAAAAACTACTTTTACAGGCTAGAGTAATGTTACTGAGTTTTCCACAAATTTTTGGAATTTCCTGTATTTTGTTTGTTTTCTATTTTTATGGATAACTAAAGGGATAATAATGACGGAGCTGAAGTTAATCAAAAGTAAAAGCATTAAAGGAGTTTACTTAGTTTAGGGAATATGGAATCAAAGCTTATTTATTATCAATCATCGAGAGCTGAGATAGATTGATTATTGTTTTATTACAGTAAGGAAGACTGGAGTTGTATTTTTTATTGAATATTCTCCTTAAGAAGTATGTTTATTTATGGGCCCATAACCCATAGGTGGCTATGAGATTATCTATATATAATTGATTTCGCTTTGTATGAAGAGTAAAGAATGGTTTATCTATTGTTAATTAATTCCGTTGCGAATGACGAGTTAAATACGGTCCGATGACGTCGATTAAAAGTCAAGGCGTTACAGTTTGGTATCAGAGAAAAACTCTACCGGAAGTGCGGGTCGTAGACTCGCACCGCCAGAGTATAATCTTAAGGATACAGAAGTTGATTTTTAGGTTATTGAAGAGTATCTTTGAGAAATGAAATTAATTTGAGGTTATAATTTTTGGGACTTGGAAAATGATTAGTGGGACATGGAAGTCCATCTTTGGGATATGAATATGATTTGAGGTTAAGAATTTTGGGATATGAACTTGATTTGAGGTTTGAGTATCATACTTGTTATTAGATTTAAGTTAGAGGATTTAATTCATAAGTAATGTTATAATTTGATTTATGAGGTAATATTAGTTACAGTGATTCTAAGTTATGAAATGCCAAGTTTTGAGGACAAAACTCTTTATAAGGGTGTAAAGATGTAATACCCGAGATTTTAAAACATGATTTATTATGCTCTAATCTATATTAAAAGCTTGATTAAGTTTTAATCTCTATTTTAACCAGTAAGAATGTTTTAGTCTTAACTTTTATTTTAAGATTATATAATCCCGGAAGCAAATTTTTTTAAAGGAAAGTAATTTATTCCAAAATTTATTCGGGTAAAATGATATTTTTATGTTTGGTAAAATATTTAAAAATTTGCATCAAAACCTATATTTTTACGGACAGTAAAATTACAAACATGATTTGCTCGCCAAAAGAGACGAAACCCACCTCTTGTTTCTTCATATCCCTCGCAGTTATGATATTGATGATACAAAGTCTAATTTTTATTCTTTAATAATTAGTTGCTCATAACCCCATGATTATCACAATAGCAATTTGTTCTTATCATCATTTTTTGTTAGACTTTATATATATTTGTAAAATATATAGTTTACTTTATTGGGCTTCCAACCCTATTAGGCATTATGTATATATACTCTTGTGTATAATGAGAAAACGACGGAATTGATTTCCTTCATGGTATCAGATACTCTTTCGATCCTTTCCTCCTAACCCTAGCCGCATCTCTCTTCTTCTTCTCCAATAATCTTCTTCTTCTTCTCTCTTTCTCATGGCAGACACACCTAAGTTTCATCCTGCGCTCACCGTCACTAATGTCAAGTCTTTAATTCCCATTACATTAGACAATGAGCAGAGCTTGTATCATTCTTGGGCTACGTTGTTTACAAATCTTGTTAGGGTTCATGATCTTTATGATCATTTGGTTCCACCAACGGAGGCAACGGCCAAGGCTGCATATGATGCGGCTAAGAAGGCTGATCCGATCTCCTGGAAGCGATTAGATGCTGTTGTGTTGCACTGGATTTACAACACCATTTCTCCCGATCTTCTCAATGCCGTTCTCAAACGCGAAGACACGGCAGAAGGGGCATGGAAGCGTCTTGAATCCCTTTTCCAAGATAACAAAGCTTCTCGCGCTACCCATCTTGAGGAGGATTTTGCTAATGCTCTGTTCGAGGATTTCATCTCGATCGATATTTTTTGCAATCACCTCCAATCTCTGGCGGACAGGTTGGCTGATGTTGAGGCTTCGGTCACTAACGGGCGTTTGGTTTTGCGTCTCACGGGTTCCTTACCTGAGGCGTATAGTGGTACGGTAGACTACATACAAAATCAAGAGCCTTTGCCTTCATTTGAAAGTTGTCGTTCGAGGTTGAAAATGGCAGAGCGTACTATTAAAGCACGTCTGGCTCGTGAAAATGGTGGTTCTGGGGGCCGTGCCGGGGGTGCCGCTTTAGTTGCGTCCGACTCTTCTCAAAATGATTCCTCTTCAAGAAAAAATCGCAACAACAACAAAGGCAGGAACAAGAACAATGGGAAGAAAAGGGGCAGCAGTCAAATGGGTCAAACTCCAGTCAACCGCCACATCAGCAGCCATAGTGGCAACAGCAGCCACGTCAGCAGGGGCCACCTCAGCAGGGGCAATGGCCACAGTGGCAACCGGGGTGGGGTGGATGGACAATTCCACCATGTCCATATCTTGCTTTCTCTTAGCAACCAAGGCCAAACTATGCGGCCCAACGCTCTTCTAATGGGCCAGGTGCGCTTGGGCCTAGACCTCAAGCATACAATGCGAGTGTTCCAGCTTCTTCTCCTTCCACAGTCAGCTACACTCCAACAGACATTGAGGCCGCAATGCATGCTCTTTCATTCTCTCAGCCTGATGGGAATTATTATATGGATACCAGCGCAACGTCTCATATGACGGCGGATGCAGGTATTCTCTCTTCTTATTTCAATTCAAGCAATAAGCATCAAAACATTGTTGTTGGTAGTGATCATTTAATTCCGGTTATTGGTCATGGTAGCACTATTTTACCCCCTCCTCATCCTCCGTTCACTCTTAGCAATATTTTTCATGCTCCTAAACTCATTAAAAATCTGATCTCTGTTCGTAAATTTACCACTGACAATATGGTTTCGATTTCTTTTGACCCTTTTGGCTTTTCTGTTAATGACTTACAGACGGGGATCAGACTAATGAGATGTGACAGTACCGGGGATCTTTATCCACTTTTCTCTAATACTCAAGCCAATCACTCAAATCAGTCAGCTTTTACTACATTCTCTACCGATCTTTGGCACAATCGTTTAGGTCATCCTGGCGATGCAATTATCAACACTCTTCGTAGTAATAAGTTTATTGATTGTAATAAGGCTTGTAAATTTTTTTTCTCATCATGTCCTCTAGGGAAACATTCTAAGTTGCCTTTCTATGATTCTTTATCATATACTTTCTTACCATTTGATATTATTCATAGTGATCTTTGGACTTCTCCTATTGCTAGCTCTTCCGGGCACCGTTATTATGTTCTTTTTCTTGATGACTATAGCAAATTTTTGTGGACATTTCCTATTGCCAATAAATCACAGGTTAAACAATTATTTTTGTCTTTCCATGCCCTTGTCAAAACTCAATTTGAACGTCATATCAAAACATTTTAATGTGACAATGGCATCGAATATATTAATGGTACCTTTGAGCAGTTCTTTGATTAACATGGGTTACTCTTTCGTCTCTCTTGCCCTCACACATCTCCAAAAAATGGCAAAGCCGAAAGACACATAAAATCCATCAATAATATCATTTGAACCCTTCTCTCTCATGCATCTATGCCGCAATCCTTTTGGCATCATGCACTCTCTATGGAAACGTACCTTCTCAATATACACCCTACTAAGGTGTCAGATAATCTCTCTCCCACGCAAATCCTCTATCAAAGTGATCATTCTTACTCCGATTTGCGTGTCTTTGGGTGTTTATGATTTCCCTTATTTCCTTCTACTACAATTCACAAATTGCAGGAGAGATCAACCCCTTGTGCTTATTTAGGTCCGGCTTCTAATCATCGTGGCTCTAAGTGCTATGATATGTCTAGTGGTAAAATTATAATTTGTCGTCATGTGCGGTTTGTAGAAACCGAATTTCCATTCTCCAATCTACACAAACCCACTCCTTCAAGTTATGATTTTTTGAGTGACAATGCCATCCCCTCCATAATGCATGCCATCAATCCAAACCCAATACCACGACAACATAAGCCTGATCCAATTCCTCAGCCCACTTCTCCAAATTCTCAAACTGGGCCGCAGTCTCACACGGGCCCAGTTCGCTCTCTCTCTTCTACTTCACTTGGGCCGCAGTCTCACACGGGCCCAGTTAGCTCCCCCAATGCTGCTCTCACTCCGGGCCCTGCTCCACAGCAGCCCATGTTCTCCCCAACTCCTCTCATGGACTCGTCAGCTTCCCCTAGCCCACATTCTCATGCTGAAAATATTCACTCACCAATCTCTTCTCCTAGGCCCATCAATCCCATGCTACACCGCATGAAAACTCGTGCTATCAATGGTATTTTCAAGCCAAATCCGAAGTATTCTTCCAATTTTCACACCTCAACCACTACGGCTCTTTCCCCTATTCCTAAAAATCCCGTTAGTGCGCTCTGTGATCAAAATTGGAAAGATGCAATGTTGGATGAATATAATGCTTTAATTGATAATAAGACTTGGGATTTGGTGCCTAGACCACCCGATGTGAATGTTATTCGGTCATTGTGGATTTTTCGGCATAAGCATAAATCTGATGGTTCTTTTGAGCGTTATAAAGCTCGTCTTGTAGGTGATGGTAAGACTCAGTAGCAGGGGATCGATTGTGATGAGACGTTTAGCCCCGTGGTCAAACCTGCTACTATTCGAACAGTGCTAAGTATTGCTCTCTCCAAAGCTAGGCCTATTCATCAAATGGATGTCAAGAATGCTTTCTTACATGTTCATCTTAATGAAACTGTCTATATGCATCAATCCATGGGTTTTCGTGATAAAGATCATCCTGATTATGTCTTATATGGTTTGAAACAGGCCCCTCGAGCTTGGTATCAACGATTTGCTGATTTTCTTGCTACTATTGGGTTCACTCACAGTCAATCAGATCACTCTTTATTCATATACATGAATGGTTCTGATGTTGCATATATTCTGTTGTATGTCGATGACATTATACTTACGGCCTCATCTGATCGTCATCGTAAGCATTTTATGTCTCTCTTGGGTTCGGAATTTGCTATGAAGGATCTAGGTCCTCTGAGTTTCTTTTTGGGGATTGCTGTCACTCGCCATGCCCAAGGTCTATTTTTATCTCAGAAGCAATATGCTGCCAACATTATTGAGCGTGCAGGGATGTCGAACTGCAGTCCTAGTCCCACTCCGGTTGACACGAAGTCTAAGCTTAGTGCAACCGATGATACTCCTTATGCTGATCCGACTATGTACCGTAGTCTTGCAGGTGCTCTTCAGTATCTTACTTTCACTCGCCCTGACATTTCTTATGCTATGCAGCAAGTTTGTCTTCATATGCATGCTCCGACAAATGAGCATATGAGTGCTCTAAAGCGTATCATACGCTATATTCAGGGTACTTTATCTTTTGGTTTGCATCTGTACGAGTCCGATGTTGATCGTCTTATATCGTATACAGATGTAGATTGGGGTGGGTGTCCAGACACCCGTCGTTCCACCTCTGGGTACTGTGTGTTTCTTGGTGATAATCTTATTTCTTGGTCTTCCAAACGGCAACCAACTCTCTCTAAAAGTAGTGCTGAAGCGGAATACAGGGGCGTTGCTAATGTGGTTTCTGATTCATGTTGGATTAGGAATTTATTATTAGAGTTACATCGTCCCATTCAGAAAGCTATCCTGGTTTATTGTGACAATGTTAAAGCGATATATTTATCAGGCAATCCAGTTCAGCATCAGCGCACTAAGCACATAGAGAAGGATATTCACTTCGTCCGTGAGAAGGTGGCTCGTGGTGAAGTTCGTGTGCTTCATGTACCATCCCGTTATCAAATTGCTGATATATTCACTAAAGGGCTTCCGCGCGTACTATTCAATGATTTTCGGGACAGTCTTAGCGTACGAGAATCTCCCGCTACGACTGCGGGGGTTTGTTAGACTTTGTATATATTTGTAAAATATATAGTTTACTTTATTGGGCTTCCAACCCTATTAGGCATTATGTATATATACTCGTGTGTATAATGAGAAAACGACGGAATTGATTTCCTTCATTTTTTTCTTAATATTCTAGCAATAATACTTCACAAGGGAATAAGAAGACAAAACCCACCTCTTACCTTCACCCCTTTATTCTTCACGGCTAAATTATGAAGACTAAAGTCAATTTAGCTTGTTCTTTTTACTTGTTTCTTAATTTGGGCTAACCAATCAATATCGAGCTTATCTCACTCCTTCACGGCTAAGAATTGATGATCCAAAGTCACATTTTGCTTCCTTATAATTGGTTGTCGTCTAATACTCAAGCTTATCACTTTAGCAAACTTCATCTTATGATTCGTACCCTTAATTTCTTTCAAGTTCCTGGAAAAATAATACTCCATATATATTTAACGTATCACCGTACATGCATAACTACCGCGGCTATCACCGCTCTTCCCTTTGCTTGAAATGGTTGTGGTCATCTCTTTCCTTGCCACCATGCTCACGCACCGCAGCCACGTACTCTTCTCCTTCCTCAATTCATGGCATGCTTGGTGAAACTAAGAATGGTCTTTGAGACTACTCTGTACACGCGAAACCAAAGTGAGCTTATTACATCTTTTATTTGCTCTTAATCATGGGTATAAGTTGACTTTTATGTTTTGAAAGCATGCAACTCTTGTTTTTCTTAGTTAATGATTATGTATTACTAGCTTTGTTTTTTTTTAACTCGATTTCCTTACTGATGATGAATCATAGTAGTATTTTCTTTTTATATGATCATAGTATCATATACGTACTCACGAACAAAAATTTAAACCCATTTCTAATAAAATGAGTATTCGACTATTTGTGTAATACCCCGTATTTTTATACGTATTTTATTTAAAATATGTATTTTATAAAGGTATTTAAATAATTTAAATATTTTAATGATGGTATTTTAATTATTTATCCTATGTAATTTTGGAAATATTTTTACTAAAGGAAAGTTTGTTTAATTATTTATTTTATTAAAGTTGGGGTTTTATTTTAAGAAAGTATGATTTTAACAAGTTTTATTAGGGAAGGGATTGGGAAAAACTAAAAGAGGAAAGTTAAGGGTAAAAGGGGTTATAGAGAAGGGGTATAAATATCCCTCTTATGAGGCAAATCAACTTTGCCAAGAGTGGAGAAAACCCAAGGTAAATTTCTCTTCCTTTTCTCCTTATTTTTCTTTCTCCTTCCCCTTTCCCTTTTGTTTTCAGACCACCACCACCACCGCCAAGCGCCACCACCAGTGGGCCACCGACCACCAGCCACCCTACCGGCAGCAGCGACGACCACCAGTGCTTGTAGTGGCGCCGGTCTGATGTCGGAAGTCCCGATTTTCGAAAAAAAGAAAACTTAAAAAAAAAATCTAATCTTTCTTGCTGTAATTTAATCTATGCTTTAATATAATTGTAAATTATGATTTTTGGGATTTCATTTTGATGTTTGATTATTATAATTATGTTGATTAATTTTCAGAGTTTATTTTTAATTAAAAAGCCCCAAATTTTGAAACCTTAGGCTCTTGATTTATGAATTATTGAAAGAGTATGATGTATTATGGTTTAGATCTTTGATTAAAGTATTTTAAGGCTACTTCACAGCAAGTTTTAATTAAAATAAAGTGCTGAAATTTTATGTAGAGCACTTAATATTATGATTCTTGAAGAAATTTCAATTACCCATTAATTGAGACTTAAGTATGGTGTATTAAATATAATTTCAGCCTATTTTAATTAAATTATGAGGAGTTTTATAATAGTATATATTGCTGGAAATTTGTTTAGAGTGGATTTTAATACTCTATTATGACTTTAATGTGTAGGAGAATTTGAAGTAAGCGATTTCTATTAGTCATGGCGATTTTTAAATCATACTCAAGGTATGTTCCCGTACTTAGCATATTTTGGTGATGTAGTATCATGCTAGGCTTGACTTCGATCAATTACAAGTAGTATCATGCTAAGGTTTATCTATGAAATTGTGAATTATTGGTGTTGGTGATTGAATTGTGAAGCATGAATTATTTGTGATGGTTTATGGATTGTAAAATTATACTTTTGGCATGATTATATGGACTAATCTTTTATTTAGGGCATGTTAGAGTGCATGTTTATTTAAACTACATGTTTAATTTGGCTTGTAATATCGAAAAGGAATTTTATTGTGGTTCATATAACATATAAGTGTCTATGTGCACGAAAAATAAATTATGTGCTAGTGCCTTTGTGCACTTAAGGTGTTTTTAACATCGAGGGATAGGATTTTTTGCGCTTTATGCGTTTAACGTGTCTTTGACACTGAGGTAGAATTAAAAAAGGTCCAACAATAAATATTATGTGGTCACTAAATATTCAAGAATTAAATTGGTATGTTTGTTGATTGAATAATTGTTGTTGATTGAATTATTATGCTTTGAAAGTCATCACCAAGTCTAATAATATGTAAATAATGTAAAGTGAAAGAGATTACGCACCAAAACTCTTGGAATGTATATACCTTGAGTATGAACATATGAGGGGAGTTATGGGAATTTGTATTTAACCATAACTTCTAATGGAATACAGGACGCTGTACCTTCCTTTTTATTTATTATTATGCGCAGGAATTCTGCCACCTATGTGTGGCTTTATCGCTAGCACGGTTAGCTCTCGTGTAAGTTAACCTCAATTTATTTGGGGGAGGTAGATTTGGAAACCCGTTCGATGCGTAATCAACACTAAACAAATTATTTAGTGTCTAGATAATGATTCTTATTGAATGTTATGTGTGCTTGTAAACAGGTGCATGGAGGTAAGTGTGTGCGTTGATTGGTGAAAGCATGTTAGTGTGTTTAATTACGCTTATGTACTCAGATTTGTTGATTATGTGTGTCTGTGTGTTTTGGCCATGTCTTTATCTTGGCCCTATGATGACCCATTTTAATGGAGAGTAGTGGAAGCAAGTAGAGATAAGCTTTTCAGGTATTGAAGCATATATATGACGGGGCTTGAGTGAACACCGAATCAAGCTAGTTTCTATTAGTTTACGACCTGTTTTATGCATTGAATATATATGGTGTTATTTTATATATGGACTAACCAAGGATGTGGATTTGGTTTGGTTTGAATAAGCACCTTTAATGGTTCCAAGTTGTAGTTTAATTTTAATTGACTTCGTTTGTTTTGGTTTTAAACTTCATTTTTGTTTGTTGACTTTTAAGTTGACTTTTTTTTGAATGGTTTTGATTTTAAGTCTCCCGCTATGTATCTTTTCTAGTTGCCTTAGCCGTTTTAACGTTGGCGGTAATGTCTTAGATATTCCTAATTCGTATTTTTAAAAGGGTAAAAGAGGTATTTTAAGGAAAGGAATTTCTAGGGTGTTACAAAGTGGTATCTGGGAGCTTAGGTTGAGATTTTAAATTACCACTAACCCAAAAATGTCTTTTTTTACTATGTTTTAAACTTGGCCAAGTGCTAATTTAATTATGCAGTGTTAATTTTGTTCCAATTTTTTTAAGTGGGACCGAATATTTTCTTTTTATTTTATTTTGATTTGGAAAAAAAATATATTTAGAAGACACTCGAATTTTATTTTATTTTATTTTGAAGTGTCCGAATTTTTTTTGTTAATAGGGCCGAAATATTGGCCCTTTTTCCCCTAAATTTCAAAAAAAATTTAAAGCAGGGTAAAAATAATTTAGTTTGTTAATTTTTGCAGGAAGCAAGGATTCAGGTCAGAATTATGCTTTAAAAGCTTTTATTAATATGTTGGTGAGCTTGGGTAGGAAAAGAAAAGGGCATATAGGCTAAAAATTTAGTTTCTTTCCTATGTGCATGATTTTATTTTGTGGTGTTCAAGCATGTTGTATGACTAGATATTTGTTGATGAAAGCATGCAATATGTGTATTATTACATGTGATATTTCAAAAGTGTATGATTGAACACCAAACTTAATTTCCTGCAAACACTGTGTTGTTTATTTTATTTTCTTTGGGAAGGGAATTCTTTTCTAAGCCTTTTCCTCTACAGGATGCCAATCTTTCCTAGCAAATTTACTCAAATGGGATCACTTGTTAAGAAACATAATGAACACTCCTACGACTTTGTAGAAAAGATCAGATACTTTTGTTCCTACATGAACAATGTCTTACGAGACAAAGTTTATGACACTCCTGATCGTATTTCGGCTATGATTGTCCATTTTCTTCCAGAGGAGCCTCCTTTAATTTCTGTCAAAGAGAGATTTTCTAATTTTTACCTTCCAGGAGACATTCCAAATTATTATAAATACAAAGATTATTATGGCCAGTGGTATCTAGATTATGCTTTCATGACTAATTATCTCGTAAGAGTGCAAAAAGCTCATTGTCAGCACTTAAATCTTCCCTACCCTGACTACTACTATGATAATCTAGTAGGGAACAATCCTCCTCCTAATCAACAACCAAGAAATTCTTCTTCTTTGTCAAGGGGTAATTAGGAAGAAAATGGAGAACAACAAGAGGGAGATAGTTCACTTATGAAGATTTCTAATCCTAATCCACCTCCTACTCCAATAATAATAAAAATTTCATCTGATGAGGAGGAAAAAGGGGAGTTTGTGCAAGTAGAACCTGAACCTGAGTCACATGAACCAATAGAGGAGACAAATGATTCTGACTTTGATTCTTCAAGCTACAAAAAATCCACTGACAAAAGGGATAACGTCCGAAAGGATTAAACTCCTATAATTTCTTTTCAGCAGGAACTCTTAGTTTATTTTTAATATTGTCATTATTTACAGTCTAAGTAATAAGTGGTATGCCACAAGGATTCAGTGATGAACTTATGAAAATTCGTAAGTGATTAAACTCATTTATATTTCAGTATTTTATTCTTTCTTTACATCAATAAAATTCCATTTTATTTCTTTAATTCCTTCTTTCAATTTAATTCATCCCAATCACAATAAATAATTCCATCTCCAATATCTTTTCATCACGTATTACCATCCTAAATCTACAAACCTTCCTCCTATTAAATTTAATTCATAGTTTCAAGCCTTGAGGGTTCATGGGAATTATTTTTTATTTATTTATATGATGCTTTATTAAATGTATGGTTGGTTAGCAATCAATAATTAATTGATAAAGCTACGAATTTCGGGAATTCTACTACTTATACCCCAAAATTCACTAGCTTCAAAATTATTGTGAATGTTTTAAGGATATTAATGCATAATTGAGTGTATGCCTTGGGAGCTAACCTAATCCATATTTAATTTAGAGCCTTATTCTTTAATTCAAGAGAAGAAAGATGGCAGGGGGAAGCAACACTAACACCGATGAAAACAAACTTAGTGAACTTAGTGCAGTTAGCAAGAAACTCAAATGGTAATGGGGATGCCCAGGGGGATCTTTTTAAGAGGGTGGCTCATAGTAAGCCACTAACATATCAAGGAGAGCCTAATCTTACTATATTGGAAAACTGGTTGAGGGTGTTTGAGAAGCTGTTTGGAGCTGTAGGATGCCCTGAAAATTCAAAAGTAAGTTGTGCTACCTACTATCTGAGGGGTGAGGTTGACCTTTGGTGGAAACAAAATGAAACTACAATTAGAGCACTACCTGGATTCAATTAAGCTAAGTTCCAAGAAAAGGTGAGAGACAAGTTTTACCCTATCTTTTTGCAAAAGGAGTTCTCAAACCTTAAGATGGAAAAGATGCCAGTTACTGAATACTACACCAAGTTTATTGAGTTGTCCCGTTTTGCTGAAGAGTCTGTTGCTAAAGAAAAGGCAAAGGCTAGAAAGTTTGAGAGTAGCTTGACTACTGATTTGCAGTTAAAGCCGTGCGGGCAAGTGTTTGAGACCTTGGATGAAGTATATGGAAGGGCCGCACACCTTTACGCATTGGAGGAGAAGAAAAAGAAGGAGTTAGCTGAGATAGAAGGAAGAGAGAAGAGGAAGGAGGTGGGGCAAGTTTTTGTTAACCAACAGGGAAACCAAAATGGTTTTAAGAAGTAGAAGTACCACCAAAATTACAATAACTTCCACAACAGTAACAACTTCTAGGGAAATAATCGTCAGGGAGGACGTAATAACAATGTAGGGGCTAGAAACCATAATCAAGGGAATAACAAGAATGGGAGGACTTATTATTGTAAGAGGTGTAGAAATAATCACCTTGGAAAGGATTGCAAAGGCAATTTGCTTGCTTGTAGCGCTTGTAATAAGCTTGGGGCATAGGGAATATAAGTGTTTCTCCAACAATACTAATGGGAACAGGAAGAACAACAATAATTCAAGAGGAAACTAGAGGAATTTCCAAGGGAACAACAAAAACTTTACTGAGAATAAGGGAGTGCAACAAAATGGGGTGAAGAGCAATAACAATAACAGTGGGAACAATCAACAGAAAGGTGGAGCTGCAGGGAAACTGAATGTTTTGAGTAAGCATGAGGCGAATTCCACAAAATATGTGATCACTAGTACTTTTTTTATGAACTCTATTCCTGTTAAAGTATTGTTTGATTCTGGTGCAACTTTTTCTTTTGTTTCTAAGGGTATTGTTTCAAAACTTAAAGACTTCTTAAACACAGTAGAAGTAGTTGACCTACCTGTAACTATACCTACGGGTGGGGTAGTGAAATGAACCAAAACTTTTAGAAATGTACCTTTAGAAATAGAAGGGATGGTATTCTTGTCTGACCTCATTGAGTTTGGGTTGAGTGACTTTGATCTCATTTTAGGAATGGACTGGTTGAGTAAGTTTAATGCTGAGATAAGTTGTAGGTCATAGAAAGTGAAGATGGTCACAAGTGGAAATGAATCAGTGACTTACTGGATGCATGGTGAAACCAAGTGCCCAAGGTTAATAACAATGCTAAAATTAGCAAAGTACATGAAGAAGGGGCATCCAGTATATTTCTGTAATGTTAGAAATATGGATCATGAACAGGTGACGAACTTAGAGGATATAGAAGTAGTCAATGAATTTCCGTATGTATTTCCATAGGAGATTCCTAGAATGCCACCTAACAGGGCAATAGACTTTACTATAGATTTAGTTCCTGGAACAGCCCCAATATCCAAGGCACCATATCGAATGGCACCTGCAGAAATGAGTGAGTTAAAGGAGTAATTGCAAGACTTGTTGGATAAGGGACACATTAGACCAAGCGCTTCTCCTTGGGGAGTGCTAGTGCTATTTGTGAAGAAGAAAGATGGGAGTATGAGGTTGTGCATTGATTATAAGGAATTAAACAAAGTGACCATAAAGAACAAGTACCCCCTACCAAGAATCGATGATTTGTTTGATCAATTAAAGGGTACCACAATGTTTTCGAAGATTGATTTGAGGTCGGGGTATCAACAATTGAGGATTGCAGATGAGGACATCCCTAAAACTGCGTTTAGGAGAAGATATGGACACTACGAGTTTACAGTTATGCCATTTGGATTGACAAATGCTCCTGCAATCTTTATGAATTTGATGAATAGGGTGTTTCATCAATTTATGGATAAGTTTGTAGTTGTGTTTGTAGATGATATATTGGTGTATTCGAAAAGCAAAGAGGAACATGCAGAACACCTAAGGGCAATTCTACAAGCACTAAGGGAAAATCACCTTTACGCAAAGTTTTCTGAGTGTGAGTTTTGGTTAGAAAAGGTAGAATTTTTAGGCCATTTTGTGTCCAAGGATGGAGTAGAATTAGACCCAGCCAAAATAGAAGCTGTTAAGAGTTGGCCTACACCATAGACAATATCGGATGTGCGGAGCTTCTTAGATTTAGCAGGGTATTATAGGCATTTTTTTAAGGACTTTTTAAAGATTTCTAAACCTATGACCACTCTAATGAAGAAATACAAGAAGTTTGAGTGGGATGACAAGTGTGAAGAGGTGTTCCAACTCTTGAAACACAAACTAGTTATAACACTAGTGCTTACACTACCAGATGATAGTGGAATGTATAATGTGTATAGTGATGCATCAAAGAATGGTTTAGGGTGTGTGCTTATGCAAAATGGAAAGGTGATTGCATATGCATCGAGGCAGTCAAAGACCCACGAAGTGAATTACCCAACCCATGATTTGGAGTTAGCTGCAATCATTTTTGCACTAAAGATTTGGCGCCATTACCTATATGGAGTGAAATGTAGAATTTACACAGATCATAAGAGCTTAAAGTACATTTTCACCCAAAGGGATTTAAACTGTTGTCAAAGAAGATGGTTGGAGTATACGACGGATTATGACTTAGATATACAATACCATGAGGGGAAAGCGTGCGTAGTTGTAGATGCTCTAAGTCGTAAATCTAGTCATGGATTAAACACATTAGTAGTAGCTAATGAGTTGTATAGAGAAATGATGAAACTGAATTTAGAAGTTGTAGAATGGGGTGTACCAGAAGGTATTCTTGCGAACCTAAGCATCCAACCAACAATATTAGATGAGATACGAGCAAACCAAGAGGGGGATGTGAAGTAGGACAGGATTCACGAGAAAATTAATCAAGGAAAAGCTACAGACTTAAAATTCATGAAGATGGGAGTTTGAGATACAAAGGTAGATGGAGTGTACCACAGAATTGTGAAGAAGTAAAAAGAAAGTTGATGGAAGAAGGCCACAATACACCATAATCAGTACACCCAGGAGGGGACAAGCTATAAAGGATTTAAAGAAGATGTTTTGGTGGCCTAGAATGAAAAATGAGGTTGCAGAGTTTTTGGAAAAGTGTTTAACATGCGAAAAGGTGAAGATAGAACACAAGAGACCTCAAGGGACTGTGCAATCATTGGAAATGCCAGGATGGAATTGGGATTGCATTTCAATGGAATTTGTAACTTGCCTTCCTAAGTCAAGTAGTGGAAATGACACCATTTGGGTAGTGGTGGATAGACTTACAAAATCTGCGGTGTTTATACCAATGAAAGAGAGTTGGAAGATGGAGCAACTTGCGAAAGGTTACATCAAACATGTTGTGAGGTTACATGGGGTTCCAAAGGACATAGTGTTTGATAGAGAATCAAGGTTTCTTTCAAAACTCTTGATAAGTCTACAGGAAAATTTTGGTACAACCCTTAAGATGAGTACGACATTTCACCCTTCCACAGATGGACAAACCGAGAGAACCATTCAAACCTTGGAGGACATGCTGAGAGCCTGTGTTATAGACTTCCAAGGAGGATGGTAAGATAGCTTGGACTTAATTGAATTTTCCTACAACAATAGTTATCATGCGAGCATAGAAATGGATCCATTTGAGGCCTTGTATGGGAGGAAGTGTCGTAGTCCAATTTGTTGGAACGATATTAGTGAAAGTATGATTCTAGGGCCTCAAATGATTGAGGATACAATAAATCAAGTAAGGGAAATTCAAGCCAAAATTCAAGCAGCTCAAGATCGCCAAAAAAGCTATGCAGACTTGAAGCGTAGAGAAGAAGAGTTCGAAATTGGTGATAAAGTATTGTTAAAGGTGTCACCAATGACAGGAGTGATGAGATTTGGGAAGAAAGGAAAGCTCAACCCAAAGTATATTGGTCCATATGAAATACTACAAAGAATAGGCAAAGTAGCTTAAAGGTTAGCCTTACCTATAGAGCTTTGTAAAGTACATGACGTATTCCATGTGTCCCTATTGAGAAGGTACATTGCTGATAAATCCCATGTGTTACAACCCAAAACCATTGAATTAGATCAAAGCTTAACTTGTGAAGAAAGACCTGTCAAGATTCTTGACAGTAAAGTACGTAGTACACGCAATAATAATGTTAAGATTGTAAAAGTGCTTTGGTCTAACCAAGAATATAAGGAAGCCACTTGGGAAGCAGAAGATGAAATGAAAAAGAAATACCCAGAGTTGTTTCAGGTATGTTGAGTTATGGGGGCGTAACTCGTTTTCTTTAAGGGGGTAGAATGCGGTAGAATTTCGCGCTTTTCCCTATATTTTAAGTCATTTTGTGTGTTTGCAAAATTTTTACCAAGGATTTTGAAAAGTTGTGCTCTCAAAGAGTAAACGAATGACAAAAGGTAAAACAATATTATACAAAAAGAGGAAAAATTTTGAATTTCGTTCCCGAAACTTTTTTTTAAGGGGGATAGACTATAACACCCCGTATTTTTATACGTATTTTATTTCAAATATGTATTTTATAAAGGTATTTAAATAATTTTAATATTTTAATTATGGTATTTTAATTATTTATCCTATGTAAGTTTGGAAATATTTTTACTAAAGGAAAGTTTGTTTAATTATTTATTTTATAAAAGTTGGGGTTTTATTTTAGGAAACTATGATTTTAACAAATTTTATTAGGGAAGGGATTAGGAAAAACTAAAAGAGGAAAGTTTAGGGTAAAAGGGGTGGTAGAGAAGGGGTATAAATATCCCTCTTATGAGGCAAATCAACTTTGCCCAGAGTGGAGAAAACCCAAGGTAATTTCTCTCCCTTTTCTCCTTATTTTTCTTCTCTCTTTTTCTTTCTCCTTCCCCTTTCCCTTTTGTTTTTGGAAAACCACCAACACCGGCAACAACCACCGTCGATGGGCCGCCGACCACCTGCCACCCAGCTGGCAGCAGCGACGACCACCAGTGCTGGCAGTAGTCGGCAGTGGCGCCGGCCTGCTGTCGGTAGTCCCGGTTTTCGAAAAAAAAGTTAAAAAAAAATATAACCTTTCATGCTCTAATTTAATCTATGGTTTAATCTAATTGTAAATTATGTGTTTTGGGATTTAATTTTGTTATTTGATTATTATAATTATGTTGATTAATTTTCAAATTTTGTTTTTAATTAAAAAGCCCTAATTTTTGAAACCCTAGGTTCTTGATTTATGAATTATTGAAAGAGTGTGATGTATTATGGTTTAGATCTTTGATTAATGTATTTTAAGATTAATTTACAGCAAGATTTAATTAAAATAAAGTGCTGGAATTTTATGTAGAGCACTTAGTATTATGATTCTTGAAGAAATTTCAATTACCCATTAACCGAGACTTAAGTATGGTGTTTTAAATAAAATTTCAACTTATTTTAATTAAATTATGAGGGGTTTTATAATAGTATATATTGCTGGAAATTTGTTTAGAGTGGATTTTAATACTCTATTATGACTTTATTGTGTATGAGACTTTGAAGTAAGCAATTTCTATTAGTCGTGGCAATTATAAGATGGTACTCAAGGTATGTTCGCGTACTTAACATATTTTGGTGATGTAGTATCATGCTAGGCTTGACTTCAATCAATTACAAGTAGCATCATGCTAAGGTTTCTTTGTGGAATTGTGAATTATTGGTGTTGGTTATTGAATTTTAAAGCATGAATTATTTGTGATGGTTTATGGATTGGAAAATTATACTTTTGTCATGATTATATGGACTACACTTTTATTTAGGGCATGCTAGAGTGCATGTTTAATTTAATTACATGTTTAATTTGGTTTGGAATATCGAAAATAAATTTTATTATGGTTCATATAACTATTATTGACGCTTTAAGCATGAGGAAGGAGCTATATAAGTGTCTATGTACAAGAGGAATAAATTGTGTGTTGGTGTCGTTGTGCACTTAAGATGTTTTTAACACCGAGGGATAGGATTTTTGGCGCTTTATGCGTTTAAGGTGTCTTTGACATTGAGGTAGAATTAAAAAGGGTTCAACAATAAATATTATGTGGTCACTAAATATTCAAGAATTAAATTGGTATGTTTGTTGATTGAATAATTGTTTTTGATTGATTTATTATTCTTTGAGAGTCATCACCAAATCTAATAATATGTAAATAACGTAAAGTGAAAGAGATTACTCACCAAAACTCATGGAAAGTATATACCTTGAGTATGAAAATATGGGGGGAGTTATGGGGTTTTATATTTAACCATAATTTCTAATGGAGTACAGAACGATGTACATTCCTTTTTTTTTGTTATTATGGGGAGGAATTCCGCCACCTATGTGTGGTTTTTGTCGCTGACACGGTTAGCTCCCGTGTCAGTTAACCTCAATTTATTAGGCGGAGGTTGAGTTGGAAACCCATTTGATGCATAATCAACGCTAAATAAATTATTAAATGTCTAGATAATGAGTCTTATTGAATATTATGTATGCTTGTAAACAGGTGCGTGGAGGTAAGTGTGTGTGTTGATAGATGAAATATGTTAGTGTGTTTAATTACGCTTATGTACTCAGCTTTGTTGATTATGTGTGTCTGTGTGTTTTGGCCATGTCTTTATCTTGGCCCTATGATGACCCATTTTAATGGAGAGTAGTGGAAGCAAGTAGAGATAAGCTTTTCAGGTATTGAAGCATATATATGACGGGGCTTGAGTGAACACCGAATCAAGCTAGTTTCTATTAGTTTACGACCTGTTTTATGCATTGAATATATATGGTGTTATTTTATATATGGACTAACCAAGGATGTGGATTTGGTTTGGTTTGAATAAGCACCTTTAATGGTTCCAAGTTGTAGTTTAATTTTAATTGACTTCGTTTGTTTTGGTTTTAAAATTCATTTTCGTTTGTTGACTTTTAAGTTGACTTATTTTGAATGGTTTTGACTTTAAGTCTTCCGCTGTGTATATTTGATAGTTGCCTTAGCCGTTTTCACGGTGGCGGTAATGTCTTAGATATTCCTAATTCGTATACTAGTAATTGAATTATTTGTAGTTTTAAACTCCTTTTATACTAGTATGAATAGTAATAGCATCTATTTTCAAAGTTGTGCATATTCTACTCTAAAGAACCTAATACTTGTTTTATTCTTTGGAAATAAGTTTATACTTGTTTTATCAAAGGTTTTGAATTAAGAGGTTACTAATGAATATGTATTATTATTGGGTATGATCGAATGAGTAATGTTAATGGGGAATTAATGATGGAGGTTGAGAGTTCGGATGATGACTATGGAAGAATAAGTGAGATGATGATTAAGGATGATCGAATGAGGTAATCATTATAACTAGAAATTGTGTCTAGTCATGTATATGTAACTATTATATATGTCTAGCAACCGTGTTTGGTCTCGTATGTGTGTCAATTATGTCAGGTTATTGTGAATGCACGAGTGTAATCTTAAATGGCATGTTACTGTATCACATGTATGTCTGTATGATATGTTTGGCATGTTATGATTTAAAAGTGTATTATGTGCAAATGACATGACATGACATGACATGACCTTTTATATCCTTGTGTATATTTTTAATGACTTATGATATGATAAACATGTTTATTAATGTATTTCAGCCTTATGATTTATATTAATGATTTTATATATACAATGTTCAATTGCTTTGTGGATCTCCCTGAAGTATGTTAATAATCTACGAATAACTTAGTAAAAGATACATAACTTAAAAAATGAAAGTGAAAGACCTAGTCCATCTGGCAGTATATATTATGTTTCGGTTAGGCAATGCATGTACCCATGGGGCACCAGCACAACTATGTAGAGCACCTGCTCTATGTTATGGGCACCGGCCCATCGTGGAAGACGTTCTTCCATGTCATACTGTCCAGCGACTAGCATGTCCACCAAAAAGATTATGAATTCCTGAATTCTATTAAAGGACTTATGAGAACTCACAAGGATACTCTATTAATGAGTTTTATAATATGTTGATATGTACGCTCGTTTATATAGATGTCTTACCATCAAACAAGGTGATAAGAATCCTATGAACGACAGGTTTTTCTAGTTATTTCATTAATTATAAATTATGTGTATGTGATCTATTTTGCTAATGTCCCTGTTAAATGTTTAACAATAATGATTATTTTATTCAATTAATTTAAGTGTTACGAATGAATGACTATGAAATGTGTCAATGTGCTATGAAATTTTATGAAGTGTAAAGTTGTTCTGAAATGATTTAATATGATACGATTGATGTAACTTTTGTCGCCATTGGAAAGTGAATTGAACATGGAAAATAGGCGAGTTACAGGTGAAGGAAAGTACGTTAATGAAAGGGGGAAACATTCCCACACGAATGAAAGTTATGTTATATCCAAAACCTGTAATTACCTAATGATCTTACGTAAAGGGAATGATCCTTGCCGACACAGCTTTTAAAAAAATAATGATGTTAGAATATTTTTGAACAACTATGTATGTATGATGTATGCTCAAATAATTTTAACAGAAAAACTGTTTTTACAGGCTAGAGTATTGTTACTGAGTTTTCCACTCATTTTTGGAATTTCCTGTATTTTCTTTGTTTTCTATTTTTATGGATAACTATAGGGATAATAATGATGGAGATAAAGTTAATCAAAAGCAAAAGGATTATAGGAGTTTACTTAGTTTAGGGATTATGGAATCAAGGCTTATGTATTATCGGTCATCGAGAGCTGAGATAGATTGATTATTTTATTACAGTAAGGAAGACTGGAGTTGTATTATTTATTGAATATTCTCAGTAAGGAGTATGTTTATTTGTGGGCCTATATCCCACAAGTGGCTATGAGATTATCTATAAATAATTGATTCCGCTTCGTATGATGAGTAAAGAATGGTTTATCTATGGTTAATTAATTCCGCTGTGGATGACGAGTTAAGTATGGCCCGGTGACGCCGATTAAAAGTCAGGGCGTTACACAAGTAGTACAAAAAATTGTGATTTACTCGTTTCTTCACCAAATCACACAAACTAGGTCTCAAAGTGCTCACAAACAAACATACATTCATATACAAGCTTATTCATGGCAGGAATTTTGACATAGAAGCTCAAAAAAACCCCTCCAATTTGATTTTTAAGGGTTTTAAGTAATGATGGCATTCACGACAAAATTTGAGGCCAAAAAGAAAAAAAATTTACATGGATCCTTGTAGAAATTAAAAAATGAGGAAGATAGCATGAAATTTGAGTGAATTTGGTGAAAAATAAGCTTAAAAAGCTCTAAAATCCGTAGAACGTAGCAGCATAACCACCATGGCACGACAATTCACGCCGTAACAAGGTATCCTCGTCCGTGTTGGGGTGTACCTCATACAGCAGCGACAAATAATTGAATAGTAATGGCGGCAAAATTGAAATAAAAACGGCGAAGCTAATACGCCATGACGCTATAACAGATGCCGCGACACGATGGAGCTGTTCGTGCGCCGCTGCT